TGCCCAAATGAAAACCTAATAGATGATCAACCTGCAGGATTTGAAGAGACTCTGGGTCCAGCAATGGTTCACATGAGGGTGGGAGCTCTTAAGGGGTGCAACCCAGCTTACTATTCCACTGGCTATACATCTGGGAAAAGTGAAATAGTGAGCTAAGGGTCGTGTGGGCCTGCGTGAAAGGAACAGTGTGCACAGCCTGTGTGTAGCTTAATGCAGGATTTCTTATGTCTTTGCTAGTTTTGCAAGCCCGGGAAGAGTCTTTGCTCCCATAGCCATGCAGTCATCAGCCCTTCCTTCCCTTCCTCTGCTCCCTTCACCTCTTCTCAGCCATCTATCTACCGAGCCTGTATTTACTGAAGTCCTGCCATGCAGAAAGGATCTGGATTTGCTTTTCAGTCTAGAGCAGATCATTGATGTTCTATGTGCTACAGCAAGGTGGGCCTGCTCCTCCCTGGCCTGCGCCATGGGCTGTGGCTGCTCTTGTTCGTGGGAGAGGTCAGAGCCTCTCTAGCCCCTCTGCTACCTCTTCCCTTGAACAGAGAATGGGCTAAGGTCATGGGGCTGCTTGATAGGGTTCTTAATATACTGACACTTTTTTTTCAATCTTCGTCTCTAAGGCGACTTACTCTAGGACTCAAATGACTTGTTTTGTTACAAACAAATGTCCAAGAGTATTCCTTATTCATCAGCCTGAAAAAATTCTGTTTACCTCATTTTTCTTGTTTATTTCTCCAGAACTTATCCATGTGAAATGCTCTATGAATATGACCATAATTTAATAAATGATTCAGCGACTCCTTCATTGCTTATACAATTCTTTGTTGCTTTAGTTCTTCTCTTTCTTCATAGCTTAAAAGGCATTTACTTTTTTTTGAATGACTCCCAAAGCACATTAATTTGAGCATCTCTAAAAGATTCTTGGAAAGCTGTAAATATAATTTTCATCAGCCTTACTTCTTAAACACAATTTTCTTTTTAGGATTGAGTAAAATAAATACACATCTCTTTTCTTACCACTGCATAAAGTATCTAACAAACACTATCCTATTATTTATACAACACTCACATACTGTGGAGCACAGAAATCCAAGTCCTTGTGTGTTACTCATCACACATCCCTAGGCTTCAGTTTCCCTGGTTGCTAGCAGCCCAACCTCCCCCACCCCCATACACCCCCTTTGCAGGACTAGTTCCCTGGAAGGCATGCATGAAGGCAATATTGACTCAGTGAGGAATTTTTATTCTGGAATTATGACTAGTGTCTTTGCCTTCTAGAAACAGCTTGATTTTCTGAACTTCAATTCTGTTTTCTTCTAGCAGCTCCTCTGACAACCTTAGGGGACACCTTACGCTAAGCAGGCCAAGTCACAGAGAGCTAATTCTCCAGAAAGAAAAGGTTGCTGAATGACCAAGTCATTGAAAGCCACTTTGGCACATTGATGTGTGCAGCAGATAAGAGTAGTATAAAGTATGAAAGCCAGTGAGAAAGTAGATCTGTGATAGCAGAATATTGGGTACCTGTAAGTACCAAGCACTACTTCCTTCTGATACTATAGACAGATCAATCAAGGAGCTTGTGTAAGATTATATATATTTAGTCTATTTTACTCTAGAAGAAAAGTGTTTTCTTCTTCTTTGGTATATTTTTCAGTGTTGATTTGTCAGTGAGAATTCTAGGAAAATAAATTTGGTTTCTAGGAAATCTTGGGCCTCTGTTCTTGGTGTCTAATTTGAACTCAGGATCCTCCAGGTTCCACACTATTTCACTATCAAATTTTCTTTTGTCATAAAAAATTAGATTACTTAAGGCACTGAAGAGCACCTCAAATATGTTCTTCAGCTCTTCATGTGGCTGATTCAGAAATACCTTTTTCTAAGCCATCTTATTACTCCCTCATTAACCACTATAATATATTGCAATATCCCATTCACTTGGCTACCTCCTGCACTGGTAGCCAATGCTCCACTGTAAAATGCTCCACTGTGTTAACAGATCATTTCCCTGTTTCTAGGATGGTTGTCTGAACCCCCTGCATGGGCTCAGTAAATACTGCTGAAACAATGAATGAATTAATACATGATTTAATGTGTGATATATAAAATCTTTCCCTCCAAATACTTCCTTTGATTCCTTTCTGTGTTGTGTTCCCAAATGGGATAGGTGGGTGGGCAGAGGACTGATGCTACAATGGTGTTTTTACTGTATCTCCAGGCCCCCTAAGATTAGCACCATATTCCTTCTTATGTGAAAACCATTCTCCTAGCCATAGATTTCTTGCCTGAGACATTTACTTAAATCTTGCTTTTCTTCTCAATGTTCGCTTTTCCTCATTGTTTGCTCCTTCTCAAAATCCTTTCTCCTTTTCTCCCCAATGCCTTCCTATTGGAGGGCCTCAGAGCTCACTTCTTAGCCCTTCTGTTCCATTTCAGTCTCTCCTTTTTCCTTCCCTTTCCTTTCATCAACACTCATTTCCTCCAAAGCTGAAATCTTGCTCTCTACCCTAAACATGTATCACCCATAACCATCTATATCTTATTTGATGGCAACTCCAAATTTCCAGTTACCACACCAAAACTTCCACCCCAATATCCAACCTGTCTGGAAACGTGACCCTTACTTCAAGTAACATCTAGAGTCCTACGCCCATCAGCTCTTTAGTGTAGGGCCCCATCTCAGAAGAAAACCCCAGTGGGTCAGTTTCAAAAATTCAGTTGATCCAGCTCCTTCAGACCTTACGGTGGACCCGATATTTGCCCACTATTGGACTAGGAACAGCTCCCCTTGTGTCCCAGCTGTGGTCCCCAAATTACCCTGCCTTCCTTCCCAGTAAATATTTCTTAACTATTTTGTAGTTCTCCTGCTTATAGGTCTTTCAGTCACCCTGTGGCTTCCTCTTCCACAGATGATGCCATATGGATGCTTTGACTATTAGGGAATCACCTGTCTGGGGGTTTCAAGAAATACTTTTTCACCTGCTTTTCTTATAAATGTTTTGCTGAATTTTTGATTAAACCAACCAAGAAATACTTTGTCACCTACTTTTCTTACAAATGTTTTGCTGAATTTTTGATTTTACTATTTAGTTGCCATTTATTTTTATATGGGAATTCTGGAAGATCTAAGAACTGTGCTTCCACTACCACTGTCATCTTCCCAGTCATAATTTAAATCAAGAATTGATATAGGAAAAAAGCAGGATGATATAAAGTGAAGTCATAATAGTAAATGAATCTAGTATAGAGTGAGCCACAGAAAAATAATTAACATGAGAGGAAGACAACAGATTTGGTCAATATAGACAAATTTATAGTGATATAAAATAATTTAGATGTATTTATAGGGTTATTTAAGCATGTAGTTTTTACATGCTGATGTCTTCCTTTCTTGTCCCATTACAGACCCGCACTTCCCACCCAACAGAAATCAATTACTCATTCTGCTTACACAGAACCACAGAGCCAACAGTCAGGGAAATAAAATGCTCAAATTTCCACCAGAGAGCTTGTGTTCAATGAATCCACATATTAGCTTTCACCGTTCATAGTTTCACCATTCAACAATTTCAAAAGTTTGACCTAGAATTTCTTAAGCTAGCAACAGCTGGCTACAAATTCTAGATTATAAAGAATGGTAAACATTATTTAATCTTCATAGACTCCCTCAAATTTACACCATTGTTATTTTAAAGATATTGATTAAGCTCCTGCTTTGTGCCAAGAAGTGGGTGCTCTGGGCAGGGAGTAGAAGCGTGACTAAGGGGGCTTCTGGTCTCAGGTACAATCTGTTTCCCAGGGGTGCTCAGTGTGCCAACCTTGGCATCACCACAGAGTAGAGCCATGCCTGTAAAAATATTTGGGGACTCACATCAACTTAATCCTTAAAAACTGATTTCTTACAAAATTACCCTAAGACAAGTAAGCACTTGAAACCAACCAAGGCTAGACAGACAGTTGGCCTGAAGTCTGGCCTCAGCACCAATCCCTGTCAACATGGAACAAAAAGGAGCTCAGTGTACTCAGGGAGTAACAGATGACTGCCTTCCTTCCAGGCATCTCACTTAAAGTCACAGTTTTGAAGAACCTATTGTCCAGGTTAAGAGAGGACTTGTTAGACCTGTTGATTGTTACTTCCTATGCCCTTTTAAGATCAATTTATAGAGGCACCTAGTGATAACATTAAAATCAAACAACCAGATTTAGATTTCAGATTAAATCGCTGAGAGCAAAAATCGATGTATTTATATGTGCTTGCCTTTTTAAAATAAATATGTCACTTTATAAATGACGCTTTTTATATAAAACAAAGCAGCTCTAATTTATCTTTTCTATGCCGGAAGGATTTCAGGTTAGGGCAGCTGTTCCACAGGTCAAACGCCATCAGATGATCTGCGTGTCAACACAAGTTGCGCTACTGACAACATAGCATGTGCTGTCTTGTTCTGTTTTTGGAAATTCCCCTTTGCCACCAGATTATAAACCTTTTGAATGCAGAAACTATCGTTTCTATCTTTGTCTCAAACATATACTATTATATATACTTAGAGATGGTGATGGCTTAGGAGGGTCCAGTCTGTCCTCTCTCAGGATCAGACTTAAACATTGTCAGATTTATACAACCAGCTAGTGACTCTGTGAGTTAAGGATCTAGGAAGGCTAAAAGATGATAATAATCTATATCCTTGAGAATCTCACTGGAAAGATAAAAATGTGAACATGCAATGTTAAAAAAAAAACAAACTGCCACATCATTATTTAGGTGTCATGTGAAGTTGTTATATTAAGCTGTGGTCTCCATAAAAATATTTTGAGTTTGTTTATAAAGGCTTTCTTCTTCCCACTGAACAAATGTCAATTGTTTAATTGCTTTTATTGTTTTTAGGGTCCATCTTCTCTTCCTTTATTCTTTTCACAAAACCTCTAGTACAAGGGGATATTATAGCTATTGGAATCATCTGACATATTTTTAATAACATAATTTTCTCATCATATTTCCTGCCCAGGAAAGACTGTCTTTGGAGAGACAGCACGAGACAGCCCGGCAGTCCCTAATGGGACAGATTCCTCCTTGTCACACACTCCTATTTCAAAGGTATCCGTTGATCATGTTACTCACACCGGGGCATCATTAGATTGATTTTCTGTATCCACATATACCAAGTGAATCCAAAATTATCAACATAAACAGGGTCCTCTGTACTAAAATGGACCCAGTGATACATAAGTTCTAAATGTTGTACTTCCCTTGCATGTGTATCTACCCACACACTCACGCACACACACAGGCACAGCATGTCCACAGCTACTAGAAGCTGATGAGCTGTACAAGCCCTTGAAGACTGCAAAGCATGATATTCCTGGCAGTTTTGGAAAGCGAGTTATGACGAGGTTGAGTACATCCTGTTGAATATTCTGTACTTGTTCATCATGACTCTGAAAATAATAGTTTTGGATTATTTGCAGAATCATTTGCTTCATGACTCCTTTCCATGTTAAACTGTGAACTGCATGAGGGGAATTGCTGTATTTTTAATAATTTTGAAAATGAAATGTTTTGCTTTGTGAAGACTACTCATATTAGTGACTATAACCACATGAGAAGAAGCATAGTTAGACTTTAAGACTTACTCAAAATGAATAAGCAGGTCACAAGATGGTTATGAAATGCTTATACTCTATTTTCTCATTAATGTTATAGGTTTCGGTATTCTGCATTCTCTTTTCTGTGTGACTGTAGAAAATTTGACTAATAAATTTACTCAAAAGTTACTAAGAGCACTGGCAAGACCTTAATTATAGCATATATAATAAAGCTTTTTAGAAGTTAATATTATAGTATCTTAAAAAGCATCTTTAAATGATTCAAGGAAACAATTTAAAAAGTCTCAAATTTTTACAATTTCAGTGTTTTATTGTCTGTTGAAAATCTGTAACCAATATAAAATTAAGCTTTATTTGCTACCATTATAAAGAAAAAAAGTATGATATAGATTCTCTGTATCAGGCTATCTACTACTTCAATTTTTATAGCAGTTTATACACTGCTGGACCTAACACCAACAAATGAACTATGGTTTATACTAGAATACACACTAAGCAGTATAAAGACAATTTACCTATATTAAGGACTCAATGGATAAGAAATACTCAAAACATTACAAATTTGCTTAACATACAAATTAGGATATAATAATGCCAATGTCTAAGACAAAATCTGATGTGAACTTATATGAATATTGTTCCAAATAGATCTACTGACATTTGTGGGATATAGTGATCTGTTTTTAGGTATTACTTGATATCATTACAAAATTCTTCATATTTTTTTAAATTTCCAACTTCAGGGGTCCAGTACCAGCACCCACTATCAGTGGCTTACACTATTTTACAGGACTAGAACTACAGAAACATTTTGACATTTGTAAGAACTTAGAACTCTGTTTGGGAACATGTTCTGAAAAGAGGTGAGTTAAGCTTTCTTGGATAGAATCAGTTATTTTCCTTTGATTAATTAAAGGTCATAAAACTCATTCCTAGACTTCCGAAAAATCCGAAAGCAGGGAAGTAGTAGGGTTCTATTTACAATCTGTTATATAATCTATTAGAAATCAAATGCAAGTGTTTCTCCAGCATAATCTAGGTTTAAAAATATTAACATGGGTATAGGGAAAAAACACTGAAAATAAATACAATGGAATATTATCAGTCATTATCTTCTAGAGATGGACTATGGTCTACTTTTATTTTTCTTTGTTCTACCCTGTATTTTCAACAATGAGCATATTATCATTTTTGAAGGTTAATATAACTTTAAAAAATTATTTTAAAAGTGTTTTAGCAAAGGGATATTTTATGAGGGTGATGTGTCACACTGAGAATGACGATTTAAAAACTGAATAATGCTTTCCTTCATCTCTGAATTTTATTGTTGTAATACTTTGAGCTTCCCCACATACACTTGATAAGATTCAACATCCATTTATGATAAAAACTCTGAAAAAGCTAGGATTAGATGGAATGTACTTTCACATAATAAAGCTCATATATGACAAACTCATAGTTAGCATCATACTCAACAGTGAGAAACTGAAAGCTTTTTTACTAAGATCTAGTACTAAGGAGGATGTCTACTTTCACCACTACTATTCAACATAGTATTGGAAATTCTAGCACTGGCAATAGGCAAGAGAAAGGTATAAAAGTAATCCAAATTGGGAAAGTAGTAAAACTATTTGCAGACGACATGATATTATACATAGAAAGCCCCAAAGACTTCACTAAAAAACAAATTGAAATAATGAATCAATATAGTACATTAGCAGATCACAAAATCAATTTACAAAAATCAGTTGCATTCCAATATGCAGAGAACAAGCTAGTAGATAAAGAAATCATGGAGACAATCCCATTCACAACTGCGTCAAAAAGAAATACCTAGGAGTAAACCTACAAATGAAGTGAAGGAGCTGTACATTGAAAACTGTAAGACATAGTTAAAAGAAATAGAAGACACAAAAAATATGGAAATATATTTCCTGCTTGTGGATTGAAGACTCAGCATTGTGAAGTGGCCATCTTACCCAAAGCAGAATACAGATTCAATGTAATTCCTATTAAGGTTTCAATGGCATTTGGTATATAAAGACTTCACACAAATTCATGTGGAAAATACTAAGAGCCTCCAAAGATAAATGAGGAAGAGACATAAACAGTTCACAGAGAGAGAGGAGAAACACTAATTAATAAAATACAGTAAATCATATTTAATCCTGCCATAAACAAAGAAACAAAGCTCAATTATCTGGAGGGCTTGTTGGGGGAGCTCCAGTGGACCCACCCTGCTCTGGGAGGAAGCTGGGAAATATGTAAAGCACAAAGGAAAACAAGCTGGAGGTAGAAGTGCAGGCAGAGGAACTTCAGCCATCCTGTTCACATGCCAACCCCATCCTAAAAGGGGAGTGAAATCAGAGTCCCCCAAATTAGTAACAGGTATGTCCACTGGATAGCCCAGATCAGGCCTGTAACATGCTTTCATGTTCTCTACCCTCAAAGCGAGCAGGAACTGCCACATACAAACTGCACTTGATACTAAGTGGAATCCTAAGAGATAGGATCTCTGCTTACTCATTTGGTTTACATTCCAGAAGCTAGCACAATGCCTTGCCCTCCTTATATATTCAGTTATGACTTGTATAACGGGTAAGAAGTTTCTGCTTATATGGACAGTATTTACTATGTCAGCTGCTACTTAGCTCTTGCTATAGATACCACTGAAAAACTAGCTCAGCAAGCACGTTTGCAAACTTCTGACGTGACTTGTCAGAGATAACGCAGGAGGTTACAGGCATCAGTCACAACGCCATTAGTAGTTCTGCATCTCAAAGATCTCATTTCATTTTTCATTTTTTCAATAGCAAAGACACTGCGAAATATTCTGGAACATATCAGTCTTGTTCGTTGTCAAGCCAGTTGTCCTACAAGTTTCCAAATAGTTGCAGTTATTTTCGCTCGGCATCAGGAGTCAGTGATGGTGCTGCGGAGCAGGCCCTAAAAGGTACGTGTCATTTTGCTTACAGTTCTCATACAAATACTAATTAATTTTAAGTCTGTATCAGTTTTTTCTGATCAGTGTTTCCTGACTGCTCCTGATTTTTGAAATTAAGCCCCTCTGAGGTGTAGAGGGGGCCATTTGTCTCCCATTTTTATAGGTGAGCAGTGCAGTTCAGAATGGTTGGGCCACTTAGCAACTCAGGGTGGATGCTGTGCTCTGCCCAGGGCCACACAGCCTGCAGGGTCCTGGGCATGACGGGCATGCGCTTTCTCACTGCCTCTAACAGCTTGGGATCCATTCAGTAAAGATAAAATGAACCACAAAGGAAACTAAAATTATCAAATGATCCAGTATTTACCCAAAAAATGTGAAAACACTAATACAGAAAGATTTGTTCATTCCTATGTTCACAGCAGCATTTTATTCACAATAGTTAAGTCATAGAATCAACCTAAATGTCCAATGACAGTAGCATGACTAAAGAAACTGGTTACAATACTCGATGGAATACTACTCAGCTGTTAACAAGAGAAATAGTGTCTTTGAGGACCCTATTGGGCCTTGAGGTGATGATGCTGAGTAAAATAAGTCAGGGAGTAAAAGAGACAGTTACCGGATGGTTTTACTCATTTGCAGAATATAAATACATAAACTGGCAAAACACAGCAAAAAGAACTCTTAGAGTCTGTGTAAAATACAGTGGTTACTTGGGGGGCAGGTAGGTGGGAATAGGGGAGGTAATGGGATAGGGTGTTGGCCACAGAGCTTTGTCAGAGGGAGAATGAAGCATGTGTCCACATGAACTGGACTACTACAACCGTGAAGTTACAGAAATGATTGGCAAATCAATAAAATTTGAGAATAAAAAAAATAGAGAACCATGGTGGTTTCAGAATCCTAGCTCATCCCCTGCTCTGGGAGTCTGGCAGAGAATCCTGATGGCTTTAGGTTTGAAGGATCTGGCCCAGCCCCTCCCCTTCACCCCCTTTTGCCTCTTGCTGCCCAACAGACACATGAATGCAGATGATCTTATGCAGGCAGCCTGGTCAGTGCAACCTTGTCTCTGGGCTCAGGGGCCATATTCATAAATGACAGTGAGTGGAGGGCCTGATCAGTGTTGGGGGCCAAAGGGGGAGAGGAACTAGTGAGACAGGGAGAGAGTAAGCCCCTCAGACAGAAGGACAGAAGGGGGCTCGATGAGCAATTGACCTGGAGGCTAGGAGGTGCCACTTGTAGCCTGAAGACAGGGTGATCTGCCTGAGCCAGAAGACGACATGAGGGTCCCCTGCTTGTTCACGTGGCCAGGGGATCTAGAAAGCGAATACAGACTTGCCAGGCTGTGAGCAAGAGGACACAGGGGGCGGTATCTCCAGAGGGAAGGAGGCTGGAGGCAGCCACCCGCCAGCGAGGGTGGACTTCCTCTTGCGCTGCCCCGTGCTCCGTTGGCCAGAGAAGCTCTTTTCAAAGATTCCACTCACGAGAGAGGAGAAAAGCCATAAGGATTGAACTCCCCAGACCAAAGCTGCAGGAAATAATCCCCGTTTCTCAAGTAGACACTTGGCCTCATTTCACAAGATGTGCCTTTGTCCTAGGAAGGCCCAGAAGGCTAGGACCTGCCACCTCACTCCTTTTTTTTTAGTTTTATTTATTTATTTATACAAGCACTGGGTACAGTCAGAAGCACGGGAGGGTGAGAGAATTCACCAGAGTCAGAGGGGAGAACAGAGCAGACAGAATGACGAAGTACACTGCTGAGGGGAGCAGCGGGCGGCAGGCGAGGTCTGCGCTCCATGTGGGACCCTCACCTGGTGGCCAGGGAGCAGCCGGGGATCGAACCGGTGCTGCAGAGGCTGCGGGCAGCTTCGCAACCCAGCGCTCAACCGCTGCGCCACTGGGGAGGCCCATACCTGCCACCTCACTCTTGAGGGCACCCAGGAGCCCTGAACAAAATGTCATCACATGTGTGGCTTCTCGTAGGACAGTGTTCCCAGACCTTTCCTACCCAATGCCTGTATCCTCCCTTAAATAGGAGGCTTGGAGTCAAAAGCTTCTTTCCAAACAGAATGGCCGAGCGAAGTGCGGGTGTTTCCACCAGAGGCAGGGATCTGGGGAGGAGTTCCACCCCCAGTATCACCCGGCTACACAGTGTTGGACCAACCAGTTAATGTCTGGCCCTGGGAATAGGATCTGTCCTACAGCAATCTAGTACTGTCGTATACTGCTCTAGATTAATGTAACGTGCATGTGTATTATGATGCAATATGTACGAATATAGAACCAAACGAGGAGAGGTAGTATAAGAAGTAAATTGCTAGGTTCCTGATAAGTATTATGACTATACATTTGTAGAAGATGGTGGTAATTTTCTGCGGGGGTGGTTTCTGGAGGTTTATTTTGTTCCTTTGAACAAATCATGTTTTCCTGCTTTTTTATATGCCCTGTGATCTTTTGATGATAATTACACATTTTGAAAAAGCAGCTCCCTTTCAGGCCTACAGCCTGGCTCTGTGCAGGGGAAGATGGCCCTAGTCACCAGGGCCTTTCTGAGCCCAGGATGGGTGTGCAGGCTGAAGGACTTTTAGCTCTTGCCCAGGCATGCCCTTTGGCCTGTGGTGTGAGCTTCTTTGCAATTTTCCTGCATAAATAAATACAAAAAACATGATACTGTGTCAAGATATGGGCCAGTCTTCTTGTCCATTTTGCCTTTAACATTTTTGGATTCTTCAGCTGGCCCAGTACATTGAATCTCTCTGACCCTATAGTTCACTCCACTTTTCTTACTCCCTGTAGAATCATCCGCCTCGTTTTCTCAATGTCAGCCACAATGCTGTCTCCCCAGTGAGAACTCTGCTTCCTCATCCACCATCCTTCTACTCAAGTCTCTGTCTTCTAAACTCCTGTTACTTCCCACACTACCTTCACGGTTCGTCCTTGGCGTTTCCATTCTGGGTGAAGAGACGAACCTCCTTAGATGAGGTTTCTCTAGGAAGGACTTCGGGGGTGGGGGTGCATGTGTGCAAGTGCCAAGTCGGCTTATGGATGATGATGAAAGAGCATAACACAGGCTGTTGTTACAGGTATGAGCAGGGTAGAGGAACTGCTTGCTTTGGCAATCTTCTGGTCCTTGGGCAAGGCTGTAGACCGAAGCCTTGTCTAGCCTCACACTTGAGATAATTTGAAACTTGGTTCCTAGTTTTCTTATCTTAGTGTTATTTATTCCTTCTAGTTTATTATGAATGAATTCTAAATATTATTCTGGTGCTTACATCCTGCAGTGCTAATGCACCAATGGGCTGACTATCTGTAGTGCCTGTTTTTTCTTCATATCTTACAGCACTACACGAACAGTTCCGCCCCATTGGAAAAGGGCCTGGCCAACAGAGAAGACTCCCGGAGCCACCCATCAGTCACTCCGGTCTCAACACTAAGCCCACCCTCCCTCCAATCCCTCACTGTCGCCAGTAGACCAGCGTTTGGCATCTGTTCTTAACATGGAAGATTCTCTCTGATCACTGCAGCCACCTCTGTCCTACCGGGCCATGGATGCTGGCATTTCTCACTCAACCAACTACCTACAAAGAAATGTTCTATGTGCTTAATTCACTCAATCAATTTCTTTTGTGATTCTCTGAATAGCTTCTTTTTTAAAGTCACTCTTAGTTTTTAGGAATGTAATTTCAGTTTTCCCCATAGCTATGAATGACTTTTCCAGCTGCCTCCTGCTCTGAAATGTCAGATGACAAAAATCTCCCAAGATCTCTGTGTTGCTACACGCATAGTGGTTTTTGGATCTATCCAAACAGTATTGTGTTCCTAAAATTTCAATGCGTTCATTTATAACATTAATGTATATGCTCAGGGATTGAAATATTTTCTTTTTCTGATTATAAAAGCATCTTGTGACCGACATGATATGGACTATGTCTCTTAAAGGGAACTAAAGTCATTTTTCATGGCTCTCAACTTGTTTTCAGCCATATGAGGGAGTAAACATATCAGATATTTCTTTTATTTCACCCTTTACCCAATTTTGGTCATGGATGGCTTGTCATTAGAAATGTTTTTAAACTACTTTCATCATTTTGTGGTTTTACCACCCGGCCATTTGCCAAACATAACAAAAGAAACATTGACTAGGTTTACACCACTGGCATTCAGCAGCCAGCTGCCAGTAAGCCTACCCTGGTTGTTCAAACCCTGACATACATCCCTTTGGGGTGGTAAGTGGCCTCTTCTCTGCATCTGATGTGCATGACAACTGCAAACGGGAGCCTTCACACAGTGCTGTATTAATTGTGGAATATTTTAAACAAAAGAGCCTCTAATGACTTCGCTTAAAATATCAAGCCCCCTTATGCAGACTCTTTTCCCATGTCTAACACAAAAATTTGGATATGACACAATTTGCCGTTGGTGCCTCTCTTCCACCCAGACCTAGTCTTGATAGGAGTTGGTTAAAGTTCTTTTCTTGGGGATGGTGGGAGGGGAATGTAGAGGAGAACGTGGAGGAAAGACAAGACTGAGCAAGAAGAGAGGTCATGCTCTCTGGAAAAGCGAGGAACAAAGAGTGAGTGACTGTGTGCCCATGAATCCTCAAGAATAATCTAATCATCACCAGCATCACCTTATGCTTTTAAAAGTTATTTTGAAATATTTTAGACATGCAAGAAAACATGAGCATATTAGTTCCAATTTCAGACAATACAGATATGCACATTTCTTTATTTCTCCCACTAAGCACAATTAAATTATAGGCAGTACATAGAAAGCAAACATAAGACTGAGATGTGGAGAAAAGGCTTTCCTTGGAAACTGAGTAATGACCTGGTGGTGAGTTTCCTGAGTTTTCTTCTTATCTAAAATATCCTGAGCTGGGTGTTGGAGAAGCTGCAATCCAGTACTAAGGGCACAGACAATAAAAAAGCCCACGAAATGCCTGCTCTCTCTAGACAAAGGATTGGGGAAAGGGCAGCGTAACAAGACAGGAGAATTCTTAGAATGCCCTACTCCAGCCAAGCGCCATCGATAAAACTATGACCCCACCCTCTCTCTCCACACCCCTGTCAGTATAGGCATCTACAATTTCTGACTCTAACAAGATTTCCCACCTCCCTACTGAGATTGTGTTAGAGAGATTTCATGGAGAGCCAGGACTTTTGCTCTCTGGCCAATGAGAACCTTTCCCAGAGTGTCATTGAAGCCAACTAGGGACTTGGACTTCCATCCCCACCTGGCAGTAATGACCTCTTCCCCTGCCCTTCAGAGTTGTGTCCGAGAAGGTTTTAGGGAGATCCAAGACTTTCACCACTGACACATCAGTTTGTGGTGTCAAATTGCAGACATGTAGGGAGCAATAAGTAGTGCTTCTCCCTCTCTCAGCCGGGGTGGTATCAATGGAGGGCTGGCTGGGACGGGAAGCTTCCACCCCACCCAGTATGGATAAGGCATCATTTCTCACTTTCTCATTTTTTAATTATCTGACAAGCATCTTAAAGTAGCTGCCATTAAAAAACTACTATGGACATGATCGAAACATGAAAAATGATAGACAACCTCAGCAAAGAAAAAAGTCTTAGCAAAGAAATAGAAGATGTAAGCAAGAACCAAATGAAAATTTTAGAAGAGTATGATAATTGAAATTTATAAATTTACTGTATAGACTCAACAGTGAAATGAAGAGGACAGGGGGGAAAAAATCGGTGAATTTGAAAACACAGCAATTGGAATTACCCAGTCCGAACATCAGAGAGAAAACAGACTAAAAGATAAACAAAGTCAGCTCTAGGGACATGTGGGACTATATGAAAGGAGCCAATGTTTATGTCATTAGAGATCAAGAATGAGAGCAAAAAAGAGTTTGGGGCTTAGAAGTGTTTAAATAATGACTGAAAATCCCCTCAATTTGGCAAAAGTCAAGCCCCTATAAATTCAAGATCATACAGAATTCTGTACTCAGTGAAAATGTCCTTTGGGAATGAAGGGAAAATCAAGTCATTAACAAATGAAGAAAAACTAAGATTATTTTGCCTGAAGACCTATCAAGAAGAATGACTAAAAAATTCTGGAAACAGAACAAAAATATAAAAAAGGGGAATCTGGAGTGTCAAAAGGGAAAAGAGACCAATGGAAAGAAAAAGAAAGGATAAATATAGTTCCTTCATATCTTGAGTTTTCTAATTTATGTTGATGGTTGAATGAAAATTATGTTTTCTCAATATACATAAAAAGGTATGTATAATTTAAAGTAATTATAAACAAGAGTAAAGGTCTTAAAGGAGTTAAGGCTTTTATATTTCACTCAAACTTAAACTATCTAGACCTGTAGGCTATGTTAGGTTATATATGATTGTAGTACCTAGAACATCTCTTTAAAAAGCTACTTTGCGAGATGCTCTCAAGAATCTTATGGGCAAATAAAAATGGAATTAAAAAATGTTCAAGTAATACAATGAAGGCAGAAAAAAAGAAACAGAATGAAAAAATGAAGCCTCAAAGGCAGCCAAAAGTTGCTTAACCTATCTATAATTGCATTGCAGTAAGTGGTCTAAATATACCAAGTAACAGGCAGAGATTAGCAGAATGGATCTAAAAAATGACTTACTTACATACTGCCTATAAGACAACCACTTGAAATTTAACAATGTAGACAGGTTGAAAGAGGATGAAAAAGTGCATGTATTACGCAAACATCAATCAAAAGAAATCAGGAGCGGTGGTATTAAGATCAAATAAGGGTAAATACCTAGGAGTGGAATTGCTGGATCATATGGAAGCTCTATCTTTACACAGAAACGTCAACTCCAAAGAGAACCTGCACCCCTATGTTTATAGCAGCACTATTTACAATAGCTAAGCTATGGAAACAACCCAAATGCCCAAAAATAGATGACTGGATCAAGAAGATGTGGTACATATACACAATGGAATATTACTCAGCAATCAAAAACGATAAACATGTTGTTGTTTGCAGCAACATGGATGGAGCTAGAAGGGATCATGCTCAGTGAAATAAGTCAGAAGGAAAAAGAAAAATACCAGATGGTCTCACTCATAGCAGGAATTTAGAAAACCTTCATAAGGGACCAGGAAAAAGACTAATACAAAGTAAAAATCAAGATCAACAAGCAACTATAAACCGGAGACACACTACAGTGGGGGGTGGGGGTGGGGAGAGGAGAGGAAGGATTAGAGACAAAATAAGGGGGAGTGCAATTGTATGGGGAATATAACCAAAATGAAAATGCATACATTGTGCAAAAATGAAAAATGATGTAAGAAATATTATAAAATATTTTTTAAAAAAGAGATCAAATAAGGGAAGCTTCATAGAAAAAAAAATTACCAGAGGCAGAGGTCTATTACATAAGAATAAAAGGGTCAGTTCCCCAAGAAGACCTAACAAGATTAACCATGTATGCACTAAATAACAAAGCTGCAAGATATGTGAAACCAAAACTGATAGAACTGACAGAAGAAATGGACAGATTTATAATTTAATTATAGTAGAGATCTCAACACTCCTTTCTTCATAATCAATGAAACAAAAACAGAAGACTTCAGCAACCTCATCAACCAATAGACTTTAATTGCATTGCCCATGCAATGACAGCCCCATAAAAATTCTTTTCAAGTGTTCATGGAACATTTAACAGGATAGATCATCTCCTGGACCATAAAGGACTCCTTAATAAATTTATGAGAACTGAAATCATACAAAGTTTCTTTTCTGACATAATAAACTCAAACTTGAAGTTAACAGCAAAAAGATAACAGTAAAATCTCCAAGCATCAGGAAGCAAAACACATTCCTAAATAATCAATGGATCTATAAGAATGTCTCAAAGGAGTTAAATAATACTTCACACTGAACAAAAATGAAAATATACATCAAAATGCAGTTACCACAGTGCTCAAATGGAAATTTATGCCACTAAATATGTTAGAAAAGAGTATTCTAAAGTCAGTAAATTCCTACTTTAAGAACCTAGAAAAACAAAATAAACCCAAAGTAATCAGAAGCAAATAATAAAGAGCAGAAATCATTGAAAATAAAAACAGAAAAAACAAAAAAAGTTGGTTCTTTGGAAAAAATCAGTACAATTCACAGCTTCTCTCTGGTGAACCAAAGAAAAATGAGAAAAGACAAATTACCAATATTAGAAATAAAATGTGATGAAACCATAAACTCTGCAGACATCAAAAGGATAATAAAAGAATACTACAAACAATTCTACATATGTAAATTTGGAAACTTAAGTGAAATGGACCAATTCGTCAAAAAAAAAAAAAAAAAACCTCAACTATCACTCTCAGCTATTATGGGAGATAGCATTTGAATAATAACTTGAATTAAATAATTCATAATTGATTTCTAAAAAAAGAAATCTCCAGGTACAGATGTTTTCATTGGAAAATTTTACCAAACATTTATAGAAGTCATGCTAATTCTATACATTCTCTTCCAGAAAATAGGAAAGAAAGGAACACTTTCCAACTTAATTTATGATTACCCTGGCCTCATGAAGGTAGATGCAAAGATCCTTAACAAAATATTAGTAATTAAAATTCAAGAATATATAAAACTATACACCAAGTGAGTTTAACACAGAGATGTAAGGTTGGTTCAATAGTTTTAAATCAACTAATATAATGTAATTCACCAAAAATAACCTAAACAAGAAAAATCAGATGATGTCGATTGATAAAGAAAAGCATCTGACAAAGTCCAACACCCATTCATGATAAATATCTGGGACTAGAGACCTCCCTTCACCTAACAGACTTTAGTACATATGTATCTAGCCCTAAACAATGTATACTTTTGCTCATGATTCTTTTAAACTATATGTTATATATGTTCATGAATTAACTTTTCCCTAAACATTCTATTTGTGGGATTAAT